TGTTGTGTTTGGGTTGATTTTCCAAAGTATTTTTTCAAATAGCAATTTATAAAAATATTAATTTAGTATAATTAAATTAATTTTAATTAATATTTTATATAATTCTATAATCATATTAATATATAAAAATTATTTTAAAACATTTATTAAATAATAATATAATTTTTATATAAAATACTACAAATCTATCGTTATAGCAGTTCATAACAACGCCAAACACAAAATTAGTCTTGGAAATAAATTTACAGTCACACTAGTGGAGGTAAGAAGTAATTTACTGCAAAAGAAATAAAAGGGATTATTTTGGATAATAATTGATTATAACTCAATAAACGAGGAGAATGCCCTATTGGCCACTATATTCTTATTAATGATTTCTCATATTAAAATTTAGAGTGTAGGGTTCAAATTTGACGACCAACATTCAAAAAAAAAAAACTCAATAAAATGGACTTTGTGGGAGAGAAGCATATTCTGATAAAAAAATCTTGAAAAATTTCTCGATCAGTAAGCAATTGCTTTTAAAGCATTTATTATCTATTATAAAATAAATGAGTTTGTCTGATAGTATAGATTAAGGGTATATTAATTATGTTTTTTTTATTAATTTATAAAAAAACTAATATTTTTTTAACAACATATTTGGACAATTTTAGTTAAGTAGTTAATAAAATTAAAGTTAATTTTTATTTTTTTCATAATAATTATTAAAAAAAATGTAATTAATATATATTTAACCTATACTTTTAGAGGGCATAAATTGATAGAAATCCAACAAATATAATCAACTACTTGTTTTTATTATTTTTGTGCTAAAAAAAATAAATTTCAAAAATCAAAACTCAAATCTAGCTATTTTTTCATGCAGCTTCCTCAAAAATTGCTTTCGGAGTACAACAAGCCCTAATAGTAGAGAGCAGGGCTATCTTCGTCAATTTAACAATGTTCCATGGGCTGGACCAGGCAAACAAGTTGGGTCAAGTTAGGCAACTGTAGTTGGCGAATTAGATG